CTCCGGCACACGGGTGACGGGTTCTGCTGTGCCAGCTCAGCCAGAGCGCAGTGGCATCCGTGTAGCCGGGGCCAGAGCCTTCATGACAGGTTCTCCTTGTGCACACAGATGCCAACCAGTACAGGTATGGGAAGAACCGGGCCGAGGAGGACGCCAGGCGATTTCTGACTGAGAAGGAGAAGCTGGAGAAGGAGAAAGCATCAATCCGCAGCGAGCTGGTGTTGCTGCGGAAAGAGAAGCGAGAGCTGCGGGAAGCCATGAAGGGCAGCACGGGTAGGTTGGTGCTGTCGGAGCGCTGCTGCTGCTCAAGGGCACTCGGGTACAGGGACGAGGCTGCAGAGCTGGGGTGGGATGGGGACGCTGAGCTGGTGGCGGCACTGGGCCACGAGCCGGGCTGGCTGCAGCACGCTGCTGGGCTGGCAGCCCCATCTAGCGTCCCCGTCCAGAAGGATGGGTGGTTCTCTGGAGTACTGTGTTCAGCTCTGGAGCTCTCACACAGGAAGTACATGAGCCTGTTGGAACAGGTCCACAGGAGGCCACAAAAAATGATCAGAGTGCTGGAACACCTCTCCTGTGAAGAAAGGCCGAGAGGGTTGGGGTTTTTCAGCCTGGAGAAGAGAAGGCTCCAGGGAGACCCTATTGCTGTCTTTTCACAATTAAAGGAGGCCTATAAGAAAAATGGAGACAATCTTTTTAGCAGAGCCTGTTGCGACAGGACAAGGGGTGATGGTTTTAAATTAAAAGGGGAGATTCAGACTAGATAGAAGGAAGAAATTTTTTTCAATGAAGGTAGTGAGACACTAGCACAGGTTACCCAGAGAGGTGGTCAATGCCCCATTGCTGGAAACATTCCAGGTTAGGTTGGACAGGGCTCTGAGCAACCTGCTCTAGTTACAGATGTCCCTGCTCACTGCAGGGGGGTTGGACTAGATGACCTTGAAAGGTCCCTTCCAACCCAATACGTTCTGTGATTCCTCATTCCTGCGGCCTTGTCCCTGGGCAAAGGTGCTGAGCTGGGTGCGTTTGTGCAAGCAGGGACGAAGCTGCAGGACCTGGAGCAGCAGGTGGCGGTGCTGGAGGAGCAGTGCCGGCAGAAGGAGGAGCGCCGCGTGGACCTGGAGCTCAAGCTGACTGAAGTGAAGGAGAGGCTGAAGCAGTCGCTGGCAGGAGGGCCGGCCCTGGGGCTGGCTGTGGCCAGCAAGGCTGAGAGTGGGGTACACATCCCTTCGGCATCCCTTCCGCGCCCCTTCCGCATCGCTCTGGTGGCTCCCGCTGCCCCCAGCAATGGTGCTTGAGGTGGGGGGCGGAGCAGCATGTGGGGAAGAGGGGACATCCCTGCTTCTTTGCTCCATTGTGGACAGAGGTGGGAAGCAAAGTGTCAGTTAGGTTTGGCCACAGTTTGACCTCTGGCTGTCCTTGCTCCCTGGGTTGTGTAAAACCTCGTCCTTCTTGCTCCCCCTTTTCCACAGGAAGCTACGAACAAGACATGTGGGAGCCCCGCTGAGCACTTGGTCCCTGTTAATTGTGCAGCCGAACTGAGGAAGAGAAGTCCCTCCATCCTGCCCACCAACAAGGGAAACGTGCTGCGGAAGGCCAAGGTCCTGCTTCACTCTCCCTCTCCTCCCTTGCCCCATGGGAAATCACAGCCTTTGTCCTGTCCTCTTTCTTTGACCATAAAATTTGGGAACTGGGGATGCTCCCTACCCCAAAAGCAAGGGGTGCTGCCAGGGTCCCCTGCAGCCAGGCTGACCCAGCTCAGTGGCACTCGCTGGTGGCACGAGCCCAGTTCACAGGGAGATTGAAGCGGTGCAGGGATGGGCAGAGGGAAGAGCATCACCACTGCAACATCTGGAGCTGCTGTGCCCCTGGCCTTTGCAGGCGCTGGGGTGGTTCACAGTCCCCAGTAGGGAGGGAGGGACGCCCTTGAAGGGCTCAATGCTCACTTCTCCAGCAATGTCTCTTCATCCCTTGCTGATTTGTCTTTCTCTGCAGGAATGGGAAAAGAAGCAGACTTAAGCTGGGCTGCAGGAACTCCGGCCGAGCACCCACTGGACATTGGGCTTCATGGAGGAGCTACAAGCCCCTTTCCTCTGAGGCGCCAGGAGGGCGTGGGGGAGAGACACTCCCTGTGCCCCACCACCATGGCACTGCCTGCCTCGTGGGAACACTATAAACCATGGGGAAGGGGGTGGGAGGGGGATCTGGGAGGAGGGTGGGGAAGGGGAGTTCTTTGTGGATCAGTGTCACATACTACTGGGAAACCCATCTCTGGGGAGCCTCCCACAGGGCCCAGAGTTTGGTTCAGCATGTGTGTGCCTGTGGTGGCACATAAGGAAGGAAGGCAGAGGTTGGAGGCTGGTGTGTGCCACCCTGGGGATGTTGGAGGCCAGGCTAACACTTTCCAAAGTGACTACAGACTCGTTGGATTTTTTTGGCCCCCTCAGTGTTGGACTTCATGAGCTGCTCAGGACCAGACACTTCGGAGACACAGATTGTTCACCCTGCTCACTGCTCCCAGCTCCGCAGGGTCTCATCTCAGGGTTTCTCATGTCTCAAGCTCACTGTAACTCAACCAAGTGCCCTTGTCCAATATTTCCTTCTTGCTCTCCAGGCAGGAAGGGGAAGGGCACCCTGGCTTCCCTTGGGAATGAATGAAGATCAAGTGTCAGCATTTGAAAGCAAATTAACAGCAGATACCTTTCAACCTTGCTAAACAGCTTAGAAGTGCTGCAAAGGGCTGAGGCCGGAGGCAGCCCCACTGACTCTGCTGTCCCTGCCAGCTTTTGGGGGAGCAGGGGGAGGACAGGGGCTATCTCCTGGCCAACAGCATTCACTATTGCTGCTGTACTCAGACAGTTTGCCAAGGCATGTGGACAAAATGGAGCAAAGGGAAGTTTAAAAATTTCTTCTTTAAAAAAAGCGCTTTCAAATGAGGGGCTGGACCAGAGAAGAGAAATAGAGGAAGGTCATTTATCACAGGCAGAACAAGGGACAGGAATAAAAAGGGAAGGCCCGGGCTTTTGTGCTGGGAACCAGGGAGCAGGCCTGTCACCGCCCATGCTAACGACCGCCGCAGTTAACCTTTGGAGCTTGCTCTTTCAAAGCCCTCCTGTTAGGACCCAGGTAAACAGCTTCCAATAAAACCGCTGGCACTGGCACAGCCCTTGCCCTGACTGCAGGAGTGTGGGGTTGAACTGTCCCCGCTCACAGTGACGTGGGCCAGGGAGGGTCTGGGTGGGCTCAGCACCCCCCGCTGCGGGGACGGGCTGGGCAGGCTGGGTGAGGCTGGGCTGGTGGCTGCAGTTAGCTCAGAGCTGTGAGCAGAGCTGCCCGCTGCCCAGGCTGGAGGGGCTGCCCGGCTCCCAGCGGTGAGATGCAGGAAAGCCCTGCTCCTCATGGTGCTTGTCCTCTCCCTGGCAGCCACTTCCCTGCACTGGCTGTCCCTGCTTCTGTCCCATCTGAGCCCTGCGGGTGCACCGTCCCATTTCACTTTGGAAAAGGGCAAAATCCCTCTCCTCAAAGCATCACCTCTCCCACTACAGAAATGAGGAGCCTGTGCCCTCAGTGGGCCGAAACAGAGCTGGACCACCACAGCCTGTGAAAGCATGTCATAGAATCAGAATGGTTTGGCTTGGAAGGGACCCTAAAGATCATCCAGTTCTAACCCCCCTGCCATGGTCAGGGACACCTCCCTGATCAGGTTGCTCAAAGCCCCATGAGGCCTTGAACGCTCCCTGGGATGGAGCAGCCACAGCCTTTCTGGACAACCTGTTTCAGTGTCTCACAACCCTCGCAGTAAGGACCTTCTTCCCTATTGTAATCCTTTAGATCAGCAGACTGGTAGATTTAGAACCAGTTTAGACTCTCTTTCAGTTTAAATCTGTTACCCCTTGTCCTATCACTACACTCCCTAGCAAAGAGTTGTTCCCTGCGTTTCCCATAGGCCCCCCAGTGGAGGTAGTGCTCAGAAGTCATAGGTGGCCAACGTTTTGAGATTTTCTTTATGTTTATTCACCATGAGGTAGGAATCACTGTTTCTTCCTCCATCACCCACAGAGATAAAGTCATTATCCCACTCAGCACTTGTCAGGCTGCTCCTGGAATACTGTGTTCAGTTTTGGTTCTTGCTGTACAGAAAAGAGGTGGAGAAGCTGACAACGGTCCAGAGAAGGGCCAGAAAGATGATACAAGGACTGGGAAGCTGCCATGTGAGGAGAGGCTGAGAGAACTGTGTTTGTTCAACCTTGAGAAGGTTTAAGGGAGACCTTATCACTATGTCCCAGTATTTAAAGGGCGGCTGCAAAGAAGATGAAAACTCCCTTTTCACGAGGAGTCAAATGGGAAAAACAAGGTAGTAATGGGTACAAGTTACTCCTGGGGAGATTCTGACACAAGAAGAAAGATTTTCACAGCACAGACAATCAGCCATTGGAATAATCCCTCCAGGGAAGTGGTAGCTTTGCCAACACTGAATAATGTTAGGGTTCAGCTGGACAGGGTGCTAGACCATGTTGTCTATAACATGGTTTTCCCAAGAAAGGTTGTACCAGATGATCCTTGAGGTCCCTTCCAACCCGGTATTCTATGATTCTGTGATCCCACCTCAGGTCAGTCTGCTGGCCCAAGCCTCTCTTGAACAAGATGTGAAATTTATCTTGTTATCATAGAATCATTAAGGTTGGAAAAGACCTCCAAGATAATCAAGTCCAACCATAAACCCAAAACTAACATGACCACTAAACCATGTCCTGAAGTACCACGTCCATATGGTTTTTGAACACCTCCAGGGATGGTGACATCATCCCCTCCCTAGGCAGTCTGGTCCAATGCCTCACCACTCTTTCAGTAAATAAATTCTTCCTGATACCAAATCTAAACCTCCCCTGGCACAACTTAACCCCGTTTCCTCTTGTCCTATCACTAGCTGCTTGGGAGAAGAGACCAACCCCTGCCCCATGACAACCTCCTTTCAGGTAGTTGTAGAGCACAGCAAAACGTCCCCCCAAACTCCTCCAGGCTAAACAATCCCAGCTAATCCCAGTTAGGAGAGCTGTCTCCAGCTCTGGAGGAAACATAAAAGATCTGTTGGAACAGGTCCAGAGGAGGCCACAAAAAATTATGAGAGTGCTGGAACACCTCTCCTGTGAAGAAAGGCTGAGATGGTTGGGGCTGTTCAGCCTGGAGAAGAGAAGGCTCCAGGAGACCCTATTGCTGCCTTTTCACAATTAAAGGAGGCCTATAATAAAGGTTGAGACCATCTTTTTAGCAGGGCCTGTTGCGGCAGGCCAAGGGGTGGCGGTTTTAAAC